TCGTGGATGAACAGTGTTGCGCCAAATATGGCGCAGCACTGTTCATCAACGCCAAAATATTTGGCGTTATGCTGCGGGTTGGAGTTCTAAAAAATGAGGGGATGGTGCAATGGCGTTGATATTTGGCGGAATGGGTGTGCCATTGGAGTTGCTCTTAAGTATCCTTATATATTGGTAAAAGTAGTTGGCACCAGTATCAAGAAGGATACTTATCAAAACAAGTAAAGCTACTTTGGGATGAGTAAAAGACGGATTTCAATGACAAGTTACACACAACAATTGAGTAAAATGGTCTTTCGACTATGACATTTTCTCAAATTGGTTCCTTGACTTTTAATTGCACTCAAAGTGGTTCTCCGACTATTGAATTTTAAGCCAAAATGGCCATCCGTTAGTTTTGGTATTAAGTGGGTGTTAGAATGAAGGGTAAAATTGGTAATTTAGGTTTTGCACTCCAATTTAAAGCAATTTATGACTCCTTTCAGTAGTCTGCGCGCATATTTCTTCAAATTAGATTTTTTACTTTCCTAAATCTACAATCAAAATGTGGGTTTTAATTTTTATTTTTATAATTAATTTTACGATTTAATGTTTAGATACCATCAAATAAAACATAACTTCTAAACATTAAATCGTAAAATTAATAATAAAAAAAAAATCCCACATTTTGATTGTAGATTTAGGAGATCACAAATCTAATTTAAAGAAATATGCGTGCAGGCTGCTGAAAGGAGTCACAAATTGATTTAAATTGGAGTGCAAAATATGAATTATCAGTTTTACCCTTCATTTTAACACCTACTTAACACTAAAACAAACAGATCACCATTTTGGCTTAAAATTCAATAGTTGAAGGACCACTTTGGGTGCAATTAAAAGTCAAGGAACCAATTTGAGAAAAGGTCATAGTCGGAGGACAATTTTGGAAATTAACTCGAGTAATGGGCTACACTTGTCAAATCATGACAAATTATTTTATTGACAAGTTAGCAATTCAAATATGTTTCCCTCCAACAATTCAAAATCAAGCTAAGCTATAAATTGAAGAATGCTCAAAAGTAAACAACATGATACAAATTAAGAGATAATTTATCAAGTATATTTCAAAGCACTCGAAGTTCTTCACTCGCTAACATCTAGTCATCCAAGAGACTTTAAGAACTTCATTAAGACCAAGATTATCTTCACTAAGTCTCAATTAGTTGGAGAATATTCAATCTTGAGCTAAAGTTTTGTAGATCACTACATTAATTGTAGATAGAGGTTGAGTAGCAAGTTTTTAGAGCTTTGTGAAAACTTGAGCAAACAGTGTTGGCTTGGTTATCAAAGCACTTGTTTGTCTTTCACTTCTAATTTGTTGGTTGAACAAGATTACTATTGAATTACTTCCTAGAGATTAGGACCAGTAGGGTAGAGGAATTACACCATCGTTAAACAACTATAAATTTGTGTGTCTATTTACTTTATGCACTTTACTTTATATTACATAGCTTATAGTATATTGCATTGCTTATTAATAATTTTTGAAAATCAATTTTTCATTGCGTTACATATCTTTTTGATCAAGTTATTTTGCTAGCCATTTTAAGGTATTATTTGAGGTAATGTCCATATTAATTTATGTCATGCCAAAGTGGATTTAGGTTCTCCTATGTTAGGAAAAAAATTTCATATGTTTATACATTGAAAATAAATAATAGATGAATGAGAAATTGATTCAAAGTACACCCACAAAGTTGGGAAAATGTGAGTTGTAAAGACTTTGTAGGAGCTTTTGTCTTATTTTGAAAAAGTATGTGAGTTCCGATTAGTATAAATATATTTCTACCCTTTTGAGGTTGTGAAATATATGTTGGAAAAAGAGCATAAAATGACATGGAAAATGGCTATTTTGTGGTGCAAATATTAGTGTGGTTCACTTTTGATTTGGGTCGGGTCAAAGTAGATTCAGGTTCTTCGTAGTGAGACGAAGAGATTGATATATTGTACGTTTAAAATGGATAATGAGTGAATGAGAAAACTGATTCTCAACGTAAACCCATTTGAGTTGGAAAATGAAGGTGGAAGGCTTTAAAGAAGCTTTTGTCCCACATTGGTTGGGAAGTGGGTTTGCACCACTATATATACAAGAGCCTTTTTAAAGTATATTGAATTGTATAGCATAGAAGTTTTCTCCTGTGTCCAGGGAGGCTTGACTCATGTACGCAAAATTGGTTTGGATGATTTGAAGCATTCGTTTAAATGGAAAATTGGTCCTCGACTTTGACTTGTAGATTTGTTTCAACATTGAACCTTCCGTTAAACCTCAGTTACACACCATCAGTACACCCATTCTTCTTCCTCTTGCCTTCCCATTCTTCTTTCACTGTGAAGAAGAATGGGGCAGATCAAATTGATGAATTATGCCACAAAAGAAAGATACAAGGTAGTCTTGGCCAATAGATTCACTTGCACAGGATCCCTGAAATCGGTTTCTTTCTCTCTCTCTAAATCTTCCTTCATCACATCTCTACCAACCCTTTTTTTTCTATAACCTCCCCCATTTCTAACTCCACACCTCCACAACCCCATTCTTATTTCTCTCTCTCTCTATAAGAGAGATACAATTAAAAGTTGTTAATATGGATTCCTCTGCAATTAGAACAGCAAGAAGGAGGTCTTGCTTTTTTGAGGATGATGGTGGGGGCTTGCATCTATAGTGCCAGATATGGAAGTTGGGGTTTCTGGGAATCATTAGAGTAACAGTTTGGTTTCTGGGCCGGTTGTTTATTCACAGAGAAGGAGTAGCTTGAGGAATCTCTCCTCTGCTGTTGTGATGATGAGTTCTCCACGATTTGGTGGAAATGGGAAGTGTTGTTACTGGAGTGATGCTAGATTTGAAGAGTCTCACTGCCCCCAACAATCCCATTTTATGGACTCCTGCTTCCTCTACAAAAAGCCCATTGATAGCAGAGACATCTTCATGTGCAGGTTAGTCTTCATGATGCTTTGATTGTATTCACTGCCAATTTTTTTTTTTGGTTGAAAAGAGACATGGTTTCTTTTTTTGTCAGATGAAATTGTGTTGATATTTCTGCAACGAGTCTTTCTTGTTTTGCTTTGGGCTAAGAGAGAAGAAAAATTCGTTATCACAGTGAAATAAAAATGGGAAGGCAAGAGGAAGAAGAATGGGTGTACTGATGGTGTGGTAGGCATATATTATAGGTCTGGATACGTATTTGCAAGAGGAAGAAGAAAGCAATTAAGAAAATGACTACAATACCCCTCCACTTAACGCCACCTTAACTGATGTTTGACAGAATAACCATTCCTGGAACGAATCTAAAAGTCAAGTGTCTTTGTTTTTGTCCAAATTAAAAGTCGATGACAAATTTTGGAAAATCGTAATAGTCAGAGGACCATTGCTAAAATTAACTCATTAGCATTACTTCATTTATTTGGATGTGTTATTTGATTGATTGTTGAAAATAGCCTCATTAAAATTGTCAAACTGGAAGTCTACCACTATTTTTTTGCGCCTGTCTAGTGCCGCCTAGGCGCTAGGCACTGCCCGGGCGCCCGACTAGAGCATTGCGCCTATTGCAACGATGCTCCTATATAAGTGTGGTTGAGCAGAACATTTTACACACTGAATTCTATACTCTTCTCCCCACGAAACTCTCCCCAACCTTCCTTTTCATCCTCTTGTGTTCATCCCTTGCTCTTGTTCGCCGGGTTCTATAGTTTGAGTGCTCAAACTTAGAATCGTAGTATGTTTTATCTTGGAAAACCTTGGTTACAACGCTCCAAAGCTAACACCTTTGGGAGGTAGCAAATAAGGTTTTAAGGAGATAGTGTTTCGCTTGACTCGTACTAACTACCTAGCCAAAAATCCTTGTGCTTGTTATTTTCCCCAGAAATATACTTTTTCGTAGTAATATTTCGATTTTTCTATAACAAGCTTAAAACCTTATTTCCATTTGTTTTGTCTCTAATTTCCTTGAAGAAATGGAGAACCCCGCAGTTCTAGTCGACAACAATGGGGACGAGTTCGTTGAGAACAACAATGGTGGGAGCGCCAACAATGTTGCGCATTCCCAGGCATCGGTGAATGTTGGTTCACAAGACGGTGGAAGCACTGAGGGGTATATCCCCACGATATGGGTACCTTTGGTAGCAAGTGGTTCGATTGAAAAGTCGGAGAAATTTAACGAATCAAACTTCAAGAGGAGACAGCAAAAGATGCTGTATGTTCAAACCAACGAACACAATTAGTTATCATCTAATTGACAAACACCACGAGAAGAAGAAAATTCAGATACTGAAGAAAGCGTGATGACATACTTGACAAAGAAGATGATAGTGATCCTATGTGATGGGTTCCAATTCGTTCTTCTATTTTTTATTTTTTTTTTTAAATTACTCTTTCTCTGACCCAGTTATTTGTTTTAATAAAATTTAAAATCATTTAAAAATATGTATATATTCTATATGGATTAGAAATTTACCTAATATACAATAATTGAGAGAAACAAAAAATAATCTATATCTATATATCAAATAAAGCCACAACTTTTGGTAAATAAAAATAATTTTCAGTTTCCCGCCTAAGGAAAGAATATTCTAGAAAGGAATCTATTTATTTATAAGTTTTTATATCTCCAAAGAAAAATTAATGACCAGATGTTATTTTTCAACTTTCAAAGAGTCTTTTCAGTTTTCAAGGTGTGGTTTTAATTTTTAAAAATATTAATATTATATTAATATTATTTTTTTACCTTCTTTCATTAAATAATATATATACCGGCATTTGGGTCTTCAGATTTTGCATAGCATATGAATGAAGGATGCGGTCGCCGAACTCATGGCAGCTACCGCAAGAAGAACGAAGCGGAGAGAAAGAAAACAGAGACGAGCCGGGGAGAGAAAGGAGAGAAAGAAAACAGAGACGAGCCGGGGAGAGAATGGAGAGAAAGAAAACAGAGACGAGCTGATATGCTAGAAATAGGGAGCAGGTGGAGGCGTTGGCAGTCACCGGTGGCTCTGGTCTGGGCGTCTAACTTCTGGCAGTCAAGGTGATGTTATTTTTTTCCTGATTTTTGTGATATGTTGTTGTTGTTCTAAATTTATGATTCAGTCAAGTGAAGAAGGGTGTGACACCCCAAAAATCCAAGTTCAATCCATGGATTAATTGAGTAATTAATCCTATTTCAATTGAGGAATTAATTCCTAAAATCCTGATTTTTAATATTTGAGAACTAGTATTTGACTAGTCAACTTCAAAGTCATGTTGTACCTTGAGCTTTGAGGGGAGTTCCCTTGTTCCTTACACTTTCTAAAGTTAGTAAGGGTATTCTTGACCTTTCACCTAGTGTTAGTATTGTAACCTAACCTAGAAGACATCTTCATTCTACCCCTTACATTTTCTAAAACTTTAGCTCTACCTTCTCTCTAGAAAGGTAAGTAGCTTTTCCTCCAAGCTAAGTTGAGACCTTGCCAAGACTTCAAGATTTGCTTCCAAGATTCAACCTTTCACCTATTTGGGCATCTAGGAGGGTAAGATCTAAGTCCATCTTATGTTTTTGGTTCCATCTTAGGTGTCTTTTCTTAAAGGCAAGATCCTTATGATCTTTTGGTTTGTTCTTGAAGTGGATTTAGAAAGTGAGCCCTGTGAGGAGCTTGTTGAGGTGTAAAGTGAAGTCTTTTAGTCTACAAGAGGTAACCCATGCTCTACTAAAACCTATTTTGCTTACCTATATGTGATTTATTGGATTCTACTTGTGTTTTGCTATGAAATGTGAATGTTTATGCATTTGTCTTGTGAAAATGCATATCTAGAGCTTGTGTTTAGGGTTCATTTGTGCCATTGCTTGGCATTTCCTATGATTCAAGTCATTTTGTCGTATTGGGTGAGATTTGGCATGTTTTGGATTTGAATTTGAGTTTGGAGTATAAAATTCCCGAAGGGATTATTTTGGACACAGGGATGTAACCGCGGGCGGAACGACGGGCAGAGCCCTACCCGCCGCCCACCCGCAGGTACATTGGCCTCGTGGGTAGTGTACCCGCGGGCAGAACCACGGGTAGGGGCCTACCCGTGGGTCCACCCGCGGGGAACACTTCGGTGTTGTGATGGGATTTGTTCCCCGTGATTCTTTTGACTCGGTATTTGGTCTTTTGACTTCCCGATGCTCTTTTGTGGAACTATTTGAGTGTCTTTGCTTATGTTTCGTATGTCTAGAACTATATGGTAGGTATCCATGTAGGACTTAGGTGTCTTGAATCGTGCTAAGTGTTCAACATTGTGTTTCGTTGAACCGTGATGTGTCTTGTGTGTTCCTCGGAACTACCTTTGGTTTATCCGTTTCATAAGCATGCTAGTTTGGTGTCTAAATGCTAGCGTGTGTGTTGTTTGTACCTTCCGATTGGTTGATGATAACTTGTGTTTTTCATCGTTGTTGTTGTTGGGCTGTGACCCATTCCTTGATTGAGTATGTTTCATACCTTCGTTGTGATCCGTTGATTGATTCTTGTTGAGGTGTGATGCGTGTGTGGCTTTACCTGGATTACACGATTAGTGGTATGAGACACTAGTCACCAAGGTATTGCAGCGGTCCTCGTGGTGGCCGTGACGTGATTATGGAGCTGTGGCCTTTGTGTAAGGTTCACGTGATTTTACTGGGATAACATGTGTTATCCAGGGCATGTGTTGCCATGTGTGTGTACGGTACCTCGTGTATTATGAAATCGGTGGTTTTGTTAGAGGGACTGTTGGAGGGGAACGACGGTTCCCGGGGGAATAAGGTTGGACTTGGTGTACAGGGGTCTTGGAGGTAAAGGTTGGAACTAGATATAAGGTTGGGGGTAGCCATATGGTTGGAACCGGGCATAAGGAAGGCATATCAACTCGTGATGTGTGATGTCACGAGGGCTTGTGTAGCCGTGGTTGTGTTCTCTCTTGTGACGTGTGTAGTCACAAAGGCATGTGTTGCCTTGGCATGTGTTGCTTGTTGTGTGAGTCTTGTTCCTTTGCGTGGAACTTGTCGGGTTTTGATCTATTGAGTGAGGATAGATCATACCTTGACTCTTCTTGTGAGTCGTGTTGATCTTGTGGTCTTGGGATGTGTTCTCGTGTTGGTTGTGTGAGTGTTGACGAGCTCGATGTCTAGTGCCCGATAGTTTAATACCTTTTCTTTGCTTTATGGCCTGTGAGCCGATGTAGAGAAAGACTTATGAGTTTGGGATAGTTGTGTACAGAATGCAGATTTAACCGCTGTAGCGTTTATCATTGTTGGTAAACGTGGCATAACACCCCTGTTTTGGATTTACTTTTATCCAGTTACCTTTTTATCTTCCGCTGTGCTAGTGTTTTGTTGTGTTAGCTGCATGTGTTAAGGCTTTTTATATAGCATGTTTGGGGGGTGTTACAGTTGGTATCAGAGCCTAGGATGATAAAGTCTAGATTTCTAAGTGGTTAAGTGTAATTTGAGACCTCTAAGCGACCTTAAGAATCTAAGAGTTAGGCTTAGGACATTAGGACGCGTGGTGATGTTGTGAGTTCTTGTGTTGTTTTCTGTTGTGTTTATGTGCTTGTTTTCCTTTTAGATTTGGTTCTCTTTAGTTAAGGCATCAGGTAAGGGTGCGGGCCCTAAGTTTCTTCCTGTTATCGTGCTGTTGTCGTAGAAGTCGAGGGTGGCACCATCAAGACATCATGCAAGGTCTTCAGAAGCAGTCACCAGTGAACAGCTAGCTCAAAGTCTTCATCAACTGACACAGATCACTTATACGCTAAGCAACCACCCTCTTCAGAATGGGAATCGTGACATAGTACGTCAAGTCGCAAGTCTCCGTCCCCCGATCTTCGCCGGTGAAGAAGTTTCCGTAGTGCTGGACGAGTGGATCCAGATGTTTGACAAGACCTTCGAAGTTGTGGTATGCCCGGAGAACCGCAAGGTGGAGTTGGCTACGTTCTACCTTCGGCAAGAAACAGACTCGTGGTGGATGTTTGAAAGGCCAGCTTGTAGACAAGATCCGGAGTTCAGTTGGGAAGACCTGAAGGTTAAGTACGTGAACGGTTCTATCCTGCTCAAGTCAAGGAGGCCTACCTTTGTGCAACCGACCTCTACCGAGTTCAGCAAGTTCAAAAAGGAATCCGGGAGAACCGTAAGAGGAAGACTTCAACGGACTCAACAGCAAACTCGGCAAGGCAAGATCAACAGTTGTGAGCCAGATGCAAGTGGGAACCGTTGAAGTGAGCTCTTGTACCCTTTAGTTGCACCTTCCTTCATCTTTGTGCCTTTCCTGTGTGTTAGCTTCGAGCGTTAGCTTGTTGAGTGTTACCCTTGACCCTCGTTAATCTTTTTTTTCCAAAGTCAACCCTATCACCCTTTTTGCCAAGTGATCCGTTCTTCCGAACCTTTTTCTTGTGTTCTTTCCGAACCATCTTGTGCAAGATGGCGGCGGTGACATCAGCTTATGAAGAAATCTGACAAGGCCTAAGAGTTAAGCCGCGTCCGAGTCGAAGTTGAGAACCTTCAGTTCGTCAAAAGTGCAGTGATCGAAGAAGTAGCCTGAAGTCGAGAATCCTTAACCCTCTTTAAGCCATCTTTCTATCCTCTTCTTGTCAAACTAATTGTCTCTTTCCGAGAAATCTTTCCTATCTTTTCAAGCGTCGTTCTCGTTTCCTTCTTGTTTTGATTCTATACAAGGTGACAACCTCGTTTTCCTAAGTTGAACCTTGAAAATCTTGATTTAATTTCTCTCTAACCCACGCTATACTTTAACCTAAATCTAGTACCCTTCGTTGGGAAATCCTTTCAATTCTTTCAAACCTCGTTCTTGTCCATCTCTTGATTTGACTCTGTTCAAGGTTACGACCTCATCTTTCCTAAGTTGTGATTTTGAGAATCTTAATTCTCTTCCCAGTTATCGCTATCCTAGAGTTTAAATCGGATATCCTCCGTGAGGAAATTCTTTTCAACTCCCTAAAACCCCATTTTGATTCCATACTCCTTGAGTTGTAGCCTTGTTTACAATCCTCTTCTTCTTAATCAACATGGTCCTCGAATTGTTGAACCTAAACCCTCACCTTGATCTTCCCCTTTGAGTCGAAACTCGTTCTTGTATTCCCCGCTTCTAATGATTCCGTGCAAGGTGGCAACCTTATTTCCTAAGTTGCAACTTTGATGACTTTGATCCTACTCCAATGTAACGTGATCCTTGAGTTTCTGAACCTTAAATCCCTTCACTCTAATCCTTACCGTTGAACCGCATCTCTTCTTGTGAGCCTTCTTTCCCCTGAGATACCTTTCTCCTTTGTTATCATTCCTGTTTGAACCTTTCATCCGGACCGGAGTTTTTGAAGTTTCAAGCGTTGCTTTGTAGAGAGTTGGAAGTGGTGTGCTAATGCAAGTGTTAAGTCGGTAGCCTTCATCAAGTTAGCCCAAGAGCCGGAGAGAAGGACGTCCAACCCATGTTTTGGACCTAGCAGTTGAAGCTTTTGTCGGAAGTGACGGATCAAGTTCACGCAGACGCCGAGCTCAAGTTAAGTAGTGGGGGTACCTTGTTTCCTTTGGTTGAAGAAGTCAGCAGAGATCAGTTAAAGACGCAACCCTGGTTCCGTGATCCCGGGTGATCTAGTTTAGAGTTCTTGTGGTGTCGGTTTCTATTAGTGGCTTGTTCCTTAGCTGAGCCATTCCGTTTTGAGTAGATCGTTGGCTAGTTTGAACAGGAGTTTGGCTCGGTGTGAAGTTAGCTTTCCTTTCCGGTAAATCTTTTATCTACCACCTTGTCTTTCTATCTTGTCTTACCTTTGTGAACCCTCAACCTATCTCTGAGTCTTGTCTCTCATTTTGTTAACCGACGGTTTTGGTGTTGAACTTCGTTGTGACCAAACCTATCTATCTTACTACCTTGCTTTAAACCCTTGTCTTCTCTAACTTTGGTTGGTGGCGAACAACTTTGTTGCTTAAATCCTCGTTTGCAACCCATCTCTTAAGCTTTGTCATCCGTTTCACAAGCCGACCATTTTCGTTGTGGAACCTTGTTGTGTCCCTTGCTTGTTTTGTTAGTAGGTTCGCTGGTAGTTATATTCTCAATTGTGCGTTTAGTCGTTCCATCTTGTTGCCGTGGTTGTTAGCTTGTAGTTTGAGTAGTTGGTTTAGTTGCTTCGCTTTTATGAAGACGCCGTCCGTCGCAGTTAACCAGAGGTTGGACTAGCTTGAGGCCAGTTCTAGCCGAGGAAGAGCCGACAAAGTGTCTGATGAAGACACCAAGGAGTCAGAGAGCGAGTCCTTCTAGAGTGGAGTAGTTGTGTCTCCTTAGCCGTTGTCGGTTGTTTGTTGTTGCTTTCATGCTTGTTTTTTCTTGTTGCTTGTGGCTTAGTTAGCTTAGTAATAGTAGCGGGTGTTTTGTGTTGGTTGTCTTGTCCTTAGTGTTTGGCTAGAAGTTGATGTTGGTGTTAAGA